TGTTAGGCTGACCTGAACAGCATATGAAGTTTTAAAAGTCTTGAAGAATAATAAAAGGAAAGATGGAAAGTGACACAGGAGGCAATATGGGTTTGACAAATGCAGAGAGTGCAGGACCAACTTGACCCTGGCTCTGCTAAATTACTTCCCAGCTCTAACCTGTCAAGAGGTGTATATTTCTGTAAGCTGGTTCCTTTGCTTCTGAGGTGACTTGGGAGTAGGGACTGATAATGAGAAGTTGTTCTTAAAGCTAAGGAAAAGTGGTGCTAGAAGGGCTGCAGATAGAGCAAGTGCAAAGAAACTATGCACAGGTGCCTGGAATTGGAGAACTCCTCTTATGAGCAGAAACCAAGCCCTTGTCCAGTTTAGCAGAACAAAGTCTGGTGGAGCTGGCATTGTTATCCAGGCATCATGAGCTACTAAAGAGACTTCTTCATTAGAAACAACACTTTGGTGCAAGATTAAGTATTTCTAGGTTGGCCATAAATCACAGGTGGCAACTGAGAAGATAAAGTATTAAGACAGCTGAGGTACTGAAAAAAAAAATCCTCCAATGTCCACATATATGGCTTAAGAGAGGAGTTTGAAGGATTACCCCTAATAAGGGCTCTGACCCACAGTGTATGTTGCACCAAGTGCTGGGAGATATCACCAGCCTCATTAGCTGTACTGCCCATGTTCACAGGCCTATGTCCAGTTTTCGCTAGAAGAGAGGAAATGAGAGTGTTAAATAAGAAAAGGAGGAAGATGACATGTCTGGAGGAAATCCCACGAGCAGCCTGACCTCCTCTGCTGCCACTATGCTGTCTCCTCCCTCCCTGCTGCTGACCAGAAACAGGGAAACTGAATCCCATGCCTCAAGTGCCAGCTGCTTAGTCTGTCCCAGTCACTCTCCAAACACTCCCATTCTCCCACCTGCCTTGTCTCTATCCTTCAACTTGCTCATCTCTTCCAGGAACACTGATGAACTGCCCCCCCCACCTCTGCCCTTGGGTCTCTGCTTTCTCCCATCACACACCCAGAAACACAACATCATTTCCCATAAGGCACTTTTATCCCCATCATGTTCTCACAAGCACACATCATCCCTTCAAGTCCTGCTTCAAGTCCCTCTACTCATTTTGACCCCCACATTGGCCACAGCTTTAGAAGGGAATTTCCCAAAGATCAGGAAGCCTGTTAAATTCATACAGGCTTTCTTTCTTTCTCTCTATTCTTAGAAAATTATCTCACCTTCTCAAAAAAAGGGTAGAAACAAAAGTCATTGTAACAGTTCTCTAACATCTGCTGAATCTCAGCAGGGTGACTTCATTCTCTCTCAGGTCTTCACTGAGTTTCCAAGCTACAGCAACCTCTTGAGCTTCCCTGTTTGGCTTCCTATAAAAGGTGTTTCTGGCACCTGGAAAGTCCGGCGGTGTGCCTGCTCCCTTCTCCTCCCAGCAGCCTGCCACTATCTTCTGCCAGCAGCCTACAATCTTTTTTGGACTACTGACTATTGGTCTTAAGATTAGGAGCAAACTTCTATGTTCAGAAGGCTTCCTCCTGGAAGCTGGGCCACAGTTTGAATGCTGGATGCTGTTCTGGTCCTCATATTTCTGGTCCTAAGTTATCCATATCAATGGAAAAGGTACAAAAAATGGCGAAGCTTACCCAAGATTCAGGTTAATGGAATAAATAATAAAAGAATAAAAATTAAATAAAATTAGAATAACAAAAAAATACATGAAATAAGGAAATAAAAAAAAAACCCCTGCAATCTCAAAAAGCAACGAGTAGGGTGGGGTATGATAGAGATGTACAGGATCTCCATTGTGCAGGTAAGGGCAGGTAGGAGCAGCACTTCAGCATCTTTCTGAACAGAGGAAAGGAGGGCACCAAACTAGTTGGAGGCACGTTCGACACAGAAACAACATAGGTCTTCATATAACAACTTGTAAATCCATGTTAACTCCTTTTCAGGAACTCAAAGCAGGACAGAAGGAGAGCCTAGGACTTACTAAAGAGAAATCACCGAGTCAGGAACATCACTCAAGTTAAAAATTACCAGCACCATAAAATACATCAGAAGGAAGCATTGTTAGTTTATTTTGTTCTTACACTTCTCTGGACAGCTGCTTGTAAGTAAGCTCTTGTAAGCAGGATTTGCAGAAGATGGTGTCTTGGTGTCAAAGAACTCTCCTGTTCCAGGAGAGCCAGCAGAAAGCCCCCAGGCAAGGACACTCAGACCATCAGCAAAACTCACCTGCCTGCCTCCAGCACCCAGCTCCTCTCTCACCTGAAGTCAGTGTCACTCCACTCCAGCAGGCAACTTACCACTCCCTGCTGCTTCTCATCTTTGCCATGGCGTTCTTGGAGCAGCCTTTTCCAACACAGGATAGCTGTTTTCACCACCATATATATTTGTATGTGTGTATATTTATAAAATATGCATTATATTTATTTTTTTTATATTGTTGTACATATATTTGATATCCACAGTGTGTAGCCTATATCCAGCTGTCATTACGAGGAGTGTTCAGAAAGAGTGAAGAGAGCCATGTGCACAACACAGTCATGTTTCATAGGCATAAAAAGAAGTCTGCATCTTTGTAGATCAAGTCTGCATTATTTTTCAGGCAGGGAAGAAAATCTGAAAGTGTCACAATGAGTGTAAACCCAAAAAATGAGCCAAGATGGGCAGTTTTAGACAAACATATTGCAAAGCAATGCTCAAGGAAACAGGTTCTAAGACTAAAAAGTTCACAAATTTGGTTCACAGGAGAAGCACTAGACTGGTGTATAAGTAATATTTTGGGAGCTTTGAGTTCCTGGCTTTGTTAGTAACTTGCCCTGTCCAGGCCTCTTTCAGTGGCTACAGACAGCATTTTCCCTTTGAATAGCTCTTTCTTGGTTCCGCTCCACGCAGTGCTCACTGAAAGGGTGACAAAGGAGCACACTGATGGGTTAGAAACCTGTGTAGCACCTAACCCAGTACAGAAGTGGGGCTTTGAAGTCATGCTTTAAATAAAACATCATGTGGGATTTGCTACCAAACTCTGTAACTTCTCCCTGATGAAGCCAGAAACAGAAATATAGCCCCAAGCTGGACTTTCAGACAAACTACTCACATTGCTGAGCATATATTACCCAAGGAAAAAAATGCATCCTGCATCACAAAAATTCAGAGACCGACATTATAATGAAATATGAGTTTCTGAGTTATTTGAGCTTGTGGCTGGAACTGGCAGCATCCCCAGAAAATTAGGATGGGGAGTAGTTAACTTGACATCAAGAAGGCTTATTCTCTCTTCTCTTGTCAATACCATCAACAGAGTATTAATGCTTGTATCAGACTGAAAGCTAACAATCAAGTTTGGTACATAATTATTTTTCTTCACCTATTATCTGTAAAGTATCCTACTGCCTGCCTGAGTCATTCCATTCAGCACCTTCAGGAGTCTACCTAAGGACAAAGAAAATGGCCAGACAGGAGAGGAAAAGGAAGCATGTTATTCTCTGTGCTTTTCTGTGATGTCTCAGTGTGTTACCAGAAGCCAAGAACTTCAGGGAAAGATGTCAAAGATGGAGGCCCCATGGAGAAGGGGGGAATTACCTGCTTCATACGCCTTGCTGGGAATCTACAGCACCAAAGAAGTATCTACATACCGAACAAGAGTAATTGGCAACGATGCAGTAGTGATTCTGCCCCATGTGACTTAGCAAACCCCATCACAGTTACACTTCCAAAGACAACTTCAGATGCTGCTAAAAGAGTTTATTAAAGACTGTACTAACAGTTCTCATAACAATGGCACGTACAATGATTCAAAATCATGACATAAGCGTGGAGTTTTGAAGAGCGTTACTACAACACACCATGGACAAGAACAAAGCAGATGTGCCATTTCAGGAGTCTACAAGCAGGCCTGTGAAATACAGGAGTTGTATCTTAGAGCTATACAAGTGTCAGAAAATAGAAAAAAAAAGTCACTCAATATGCAGTCCTTGAATTTATTGACAGTATTACAGTACTTTATGGGCAAGGACTGGCTTGTTCCAGCTGCAGTTTCCAGAGCACGAGGGCAACTGGAAATAGCAAAGAATCCCCAAAATGATAAAAAGCCTCCAACAACCATACCTCAAGTGCAATCACTACCCCAGACCCTCCTGCCTACAAGTTTTCAGTCAGAAATTCTGACCTCCCTGCAGTCATTGTGCTCAGGCCAGTGTTTCATTTTGCAAGAAAACCAAACCAGGATGCTTATTTAAGACAGTGCAAAAATATTTTCTATGGTATCATTAATGACAATCAGGATGGATCAACTGCAGCATGGCCAGCAGTGGCTTCAAGGTCAGAACTGAAGGGACCTGCTGCCTTGTGACCAGCACTCCAGACTGAGTGCTTGCAGAGGGGAGAGCTTCGTTTTTGCTCTCTCCCCAGCCAGTCACCACTTCTGGGTTCAAAGTGAGAAACTGTCTCAGCTACTCTCCAGGGTAACAAAATGCTACAGAAAGCCTACAAGTGTCAAATTATCCAATCCTATGTCAAAAAACTAACAGAAGAATATTGAAGTGGAGAAAGCACATAGCATCCACAGCACCTGTCGTGGCTCTAACATTGTTCCCTTCCTCACCGTGTCGGTCACAGTAACCAAAGTGTGACCTGGGGAGCTCAGCAGCTGACAGCATCCCCTTGGTGATATAGGATTCCCAGCAGCAAGCAGGGGTTTATACTACCCAAGGCACACCCTCTAATTACAGCAGCTACAGTCTGCTCCTGGGGTGTTGCCTCTGCAGCTTCTGGCTATGAGACCTTCAGCACCTCTGCATTTGTCCCCCTGGTCTCCCCCATGCTCAGGGCAGCACATCTGTGGTCATACACTGACTTGGTATGCCCCTTGGGAACAACCCAAAACTTCTCTTTCAAGCAGACATCGAGGAGTCTGCGTATCACGTTGGGACATTTTTATAATCTGTGCCAGAACATCCCCTGGCAGCTCTTACAGTACACAGATTCAGTGAGAGATAACTGTGCTTTGCCAAACCCCCAAATCATTATTCTTCTCCCAATTTCCACACAGTTGTGTGTTTGTATTGTAGCGTGATTATGTAGAACCTTTTCAACATCTGCCAACTTCAGAGGATAAGATCACAGTGCTGCATATCAACAAAACCCAGCATACCCAGCCTCCAATATAAAATTATTTATACACACAAAGGAGAATTTGCATCTTAAATAAGAAGAGATTGTCTCATTCTCTATAGTGTCTTACCCAGCTACTAAAAAATAAATAATTCACATCAGATTGATGGATTTGTTTCCTGTACAGCACGCGTGCGCTATCGGAGCTGACAAAGACAACATGAAAAAAACCTTTTGTAATTAATAAAAGAGAATTGTTGAACACTTGCACATATTGGCACAAGGCAGAAGAGAAAAGGAAACATTACACAGCTCAGCTTAGCTCAGGTACCCTCCTCTGTGGAGCGGGACTCCGATTTCAGTTTCACAAATTCTCTGGCAACTTCATCATTGGTTCTTTGAGAGAGAATCCTCAGGACTGTAAGTCCAGTCTCATCCATGTGAATCCTGCGCCCCAGGGGGCACCAGCAAGCACAGCTGCCTTTGTCTGCTATGTCTCTGAGCTGCATTACTGCTATCCCCAGCACCCGGTCCTCCCGAGCAAAGCAGTAATCCTTCACACAGACTTGAAGCTCGTAGGCATCAGGGCCATCTTCATTCCCCAGAATGCTGAAAAACACAGACAAGTTTCTCAGAATGCACAAATTCCTCTGCAAAATAAAGGTGTCAGCAGCTGACCAGAGGGCTTTGAGAAGCCACAGAAAACTCTCTACAGAAAACTCTGGGCAGAGAGGGAGAAATAAAATGCATATAAGCATTTCTGGCTGATTTACAGCAGGTACAGACAACCTTCATATTTGAAAAGAAAAAACTAACCACCCTTACCAAGTTGCCTTTGCATGCACGTGTGTTAAACTGTGAAATGAGAGGAGTGGAGATGATCAAAGCTATGCTAATAGATTTTCAACTCAATGTTAAATGTTTCTGCTTCTGTTAAGGTTGATCAATTTCAGTAATTACTATTTTAATTAGATGAAGTCTTTGTTAAAGATGCAGAGCCTTCCATTAAAGCAAAAGCTAATAAAAAAAATATCTCAAACCCTTCTGATCTTTCTAAAATGAAAAAAAAAAAAGGGTGGTCAAAATCTCTTTGTTCAGAGGAAAGCTGTCTTTCTACACATCAAAGAAAAATTGTATGGACAGTCCCTCTCCCCCAAGATGTTCAGTCTTTTGCTGGTCATCTTTTCTTCTCTGATTCTTACTGTAAATCTCAGTGAGCACTAGTCTGTAGCTCCCTTTGTTAAGCCTTCCAAGAATGAAGATGCCCTTGTAAGAATGAAACGCAAATAAGAAGAGATCAATACTTGCTGTTGAGAAAGACAGCAATTTTAGCAGAGCAACTTACTACCAGTTCCGAGGAAACAGGTTCAGAAAGCACATCCCACAAGTCCAATTGGGATAAGAACTCACATTACAACTAAAAGAACTAGATATACATAATGAACTTTTAGTCTCAACTCTACCAGTAAAAGACACACAGTTCATTAAAATGATGGAGTACAGTAAAATACATCGATAGGACAAACAAGACATTTCAGAAGGTAGCCAAAGGACACTGCTGGTATAGAACAGACCTCAGCATCCCACCCACAGCAAAACCTCTCATAATTTAGCTTTTCCTGCCAAGGCAGCAGACATTTGGCCAAGCTACTGCTTAAAGTACTGTTTTGGGCCCTCAGCAGAAACCCTGTCTGTCCTCCATCTGCACTTGACATGTCAGAACCCCAGGCTGTTTTTCACACTTACAAGTGAAAGGTTTCATTGTATTTGGGAGCCCAGTTGTTGCTCTTTGACTTGGTTGTGAACTTCCTCTTCTTGTCACTCTGATGGGGCCCAATCATGGTGATCTCCACAAAGGGACGGAACATGCCGGATGTTTGCCACTTCAGATCATTGGCTGCCACAACTGGAAAGGAGAGTCACAACCTGGTTTACAGTAAATACTCATTTGTTCCCATGCCTCTTGTTCTGATCTGCCTCCATTGTATTCCAGAGGACAAAGTCCAACTCAAAACATGTGAATGTCCCGACACGACACGCATGAGCAGGACTTTTTTTATAATGCAAAGATAACCTCTTTTGCTTTAGTTTACATTCTGTAAAGGGAATTTAATGCTTGGGACAGCACTTAGCTTTTGTCATATGCATAGTCAATAAATTAGTCCAAAAAGGCAAACATTCATGTAGCTCTGGGCAGGCTGTCCTGACGGTTCATTGCTTAACCCTACGTCATGTACAGGATGAGAAAATCATAGGGGCATTTGAGGGGACAGTATTAAGGTCTCTGTTGAAAAAGAAAATGAGACTGCAGGTAAGACAAAGCCCATAAGCTGTTGGTGGTTCCAGAACCCAGAGTTACTAGCTCTCTAATTCTCATATTCTCTCAGGTCACTGCAGGGAGCAGACTGAAGCACAGGAAATAGCTCTGAAAATAATCTTTTTCCATTGCATTGTAGATTTAGCTAGGAGAGGAGAGGCCTGAAGAGCTGTTCCTATAAATCTTTGGAGGAAATTAAAGTCGTTAAATATGTTGTATTCAAGCAAAGGAGACGAAGGAGGAAGAGGAAGTCTGAGATGAATCACTGCTTTGGTTATTTTCAGAGCAGCTCTTCAGGGACCAACACAGCCTTCAGGATGGGGGAGAGGAACCTCTGAGCTCCTACTGGCTCTGTGACCTCTGTTACCACTGAGCAATTTCACACCACCACCCTCTCCTGCTGCCCTCTGCTCTGCAGCACAGGCTAAACTGGGGCACCTGGTTAGAGCCATCAGCTAGTTTTTGTTTGCTTTGTGCATCATTGTCAAAAAAACAACAGGACTGTACATTACCATGTCACCGGCCAGACTGGACAAGCTCATCTGCCATTGCTCTACATGTTCCTGATGTGAAACTGAGACAACAGCTCTGGATTCAGATCACATGAGCTAACACAGAAATATAATGACTGGCAACTGGAGATTTGCCTCGACACAGTGACAGAGCCTAAGCAGCAGCACGTGCTTTGCCATACCTTTCACTGTGACCTTGTGCTCACCAGTCCCTGGGTGGGTATAGAGGTCGATCTGTATGGACACTTCACCCACGGGATCATCCACACCAGAGCCTGTTGGAAGAGAATTGACATCCCCCATGCACACACAGATTATTGTCATTAGCACCCACCTTTGGGTTTATAGCCTCAGCAAGACAATAGCACTTTCAACATAACCAGCTAGTCAACATCGATGTGTAACATTAAAGCAAAATTAACATCAGGATTGCATGCCCAACACACATAAACACTAATGTTTTTTTGCTCTCCACCATAAAGATCACACCCTGTTGAGAAAACTAGTAAGAGCTTTAAAACAATTTGAGAGACCAAAGGCTTGACAACTGACCCTCACAGAGAGCAAAGATCTTTCAGAGATTCCTGCCAAGCTATTGTGTGCACATGCAGGCATTCCAGTGGTGGGAATCAGCATTCCTGTCCCCTCAGGGAAGAAGGGAGGACAAAAAAACCCAACAAAACAAAAAAACACACCAGAGAGGGAGTTTAGGGGAAGAAAAAGACAAAGATGTTAGTGATTTGCACTGAGTCATCGTGCAGTCTCACCCTCCAAGAACCTTTTTCCATGTTGTATATCAGATAAAAGTTGCCATCCTGACTGTCTGATTTGCTTTGGAGGGTAATGAAAATCCCTTGGCTGCTGAGCACCAACAATGAAGAGAGAAGCACTCACAACTTGCATACTTATTTCCCTTAATCAATTAGCCATGGAAAAAACAAGATGGAGCTTCACAGAGGAAAAGACCACATATTGTAACAGGGAGAAGGTCTCATAAACCTTAAAATTATATCATGATGTTTTCAACTTTTTAACTTTTAATTGTAATTCTCATGCAATATGTAGAAATGACATTTTTCTGGGTAGGAAAGTCAAGATGTCATGTAAATTACAGAAAAAGGATGCTTTGCAAAATGAAAATTAAGTCTTTGATATGATAGTGAGATTGGATTTTACTTTCTCTGTGATAAGTGTCTGATCTCAGGTTGACAATTAGCAATGCTGTTGTAATTGGCATACCTACAGGGTAATTGAGTACCTACAAACAGCAGTGTTATTTTGTAATTTTTGAGGCTAAGACACATTACTAAGTGAAAAAAATGTTGCTTTTGAAGCTCAAGATAAGGAAAGATATCATTAAACAAACATTTTGGTTAGGTAGATCTAATATGTCAATTTTATCAAGAACAGTCTGAAGGCATCAAAACCACTCATTTAAATCCAAGCAGTTGAAAGCCAATCTGAGCAATTACCTGGCAAAGAACTGCAGGTAGTGACAGTCACATTAATATACAAGGAAAAGTACCTGAGCAAACATAACAGAACCTAAGATTATTATTTTAGGTTAGATTCCCATTCTTGTCCTGAGTACAATAAACAGCCTCTAGACTGTAACATTTGTACATGATCTTGAATGTACTGTTTCTCCACTTGTAGAAGGGCAGTGTTCCTTCCTTTCTGCATATAAGCACAGAGCTTTAAAATTCTTACGTTTAATTATTGACCTGACCCATCTGATGGTGCAGGTTTGTCACTTATATTGTTGGAATTTTCCATGTGAACAGACAAGACTACCAACAGTATATTTCAACTTCATCAGGCCACATCTGCCAAAACATCAAATGCAAAACACGAAGATCTTAATTTTACTATTCTTAGTATAATTAATAGGTTGTAAAGGAGACAGTAATTCTTCACATGAATGACAGCAGAATTATCTCATTACTTTTCAGGGAGACAAAATTAAGTGCAGGGTTTTTTCCTACCTTCAATTGTGTCCTTTCATACAAAAAATCTTGTTCTATTAACTGAAATGCTGAGAGATAATAAAGCAGTTTGTAGATAGCCAGTGAGAGATATCTGATCATGTACAATTGTGTATATCCACATACTTGCACATTTAGTGATAAGCAGATTTAAATCTTGACACAGAAGTCTTACTGGTGGTGTGATGCTGGAAGGTGAAACTGCAGAACTGAGCTCATGCAAATGTGTAAGAGGTGTATTTCACCTAAGATAACAGGATTTTGGATAGCAGAAAATAAATTGAGAGATGAAACAGCACAGGATTATTTAGGGTTCTCTGGAGCACCCCGACTTTTAGTTACCCCACTTCAAGCCAGCTGTTTCAGGCTCAGCCACAGCCTTGAGTGCATATCAGACATCACCATGTATTTCAGTAGCCCATCTCAGCAGACCATACACATGCAAGCCTAAGACTTGAAACAGCAATACACAGCCCATGGTCAAGCATAGGAGAACAAGTCTGTAGCATCTCTCAAAAAACAGTTCATTTTGGCGACAGCTTTCACATCCCATGAAGAAAATCTCAGGCTTGGGGATAGGCTCTCGGGCAGGTGACAGACTTCTACACTGCACAACCCACAGCTCTGCTTGTGGGATGCAAGCATTGAGTGAAAGTTCACTTCTACAGGGAGCTACAGGGAATGGGTCTCTGGAAAAGGTTTCTGAGCATGGGCAAGATGACTTCAAAAGCAAGGCAGCTGGCTAATGTTGTTATGGTAACAACATTAGTCTTGAACATACCCTTATCAGGAAGAACATCCTCATTAGCCGTAAACCTAATACCTTTCCCATCATGCACTGAGACATGAATTCAAAAGGCAAGAAGCAAGCAGGATAAAGAGAGAGGAGTGTGAATTACAATCCAATTAGCAGTGTCACTTAAACAAATACAAGACAAATATTCTAGCTCTGAATAGATAAAATACCCTCTTAGACCTGCACCAAGACAGGCTCTGGAGAACATGGGCTGCCTGCGAGTAAGGGACTGTCTGGGTCAAAACAAGAACAGAATTTCTGCTGGCATAACTCAACTCCAAGCCCTGATCCAACTTTGCAGATCAAACATTTATCTGCATAGTGCTAGAGAAGCCTGCTCAGTAAGAAAGCAAGGGCAATAGATGCCTCACAAACTGCAAGATGCAACCATTAAACAGTGACGTAAGAGAAGCATTTAAATAGTTCTGCATGCTTCCCCTTCCTTGTGGGAAGTTTGGCTTATGCAAAGGGAAACATCAGTCAGGGTTCTGGTAATCAGTCAGCTATGAGATACAATCTATAACCTCCTAAAAAGTGCATCTTATGTCCTAAAACTAGAGCATAATTCTTTCTAAGCTTCTTTAAAAAAAAAACAACACCCCAAGCCCAACACACATACTTCTGTGACAACTTGCAAAATCCTCTGACTCTCAGATTATGTTCAACCCTCTTTTTGTATCTGTTAAACTCTCACTTGTAGTGGAGTTTTACGGTCAAATTATACATTGCATGAAGCTGCAACTTCAGTGGAGCACCTTCTTCCTCTAATTTTAAACACTCCTGACATGGAGTGCAGTACAGCAGTCCTGCAAACATCCTTCTATCTTGGCTCATCACAACAATATAAATAGGATCCACATAAAAAACTAGCTCCAGTTCATGGTCTGGACATATAATGGGAAACATCTGCCATAGAAGAGTGAAGACTGAAAAAACACTGCACACACAAATTCCTGGTTAAAAACTGTTTGTATGACTCAACAGCCAAGTTCCCAGAATCCCTTGTGGATATAGCAGTCTTTGACCTATCTGGCCACTGGATGTCATCATTGCTCTGCTGGGATACAGATTTAGTTCAGTCCACAAAAACTAAATTCAACTTTTAATTAATTACTTCTGCTGCAGTAGCCCAATGCCAAGGCTTGTATTTAAACACCCTGAAAACTCAGAACACCAGTTTCGGTTTTGACCTAACATTAATAGCATCTGTCCCCTCTTCCTGAAATTAGTAGTCAGACAGTGAAGGTTCCTGACTATAGACTAAATTAGTCTGTACAACAATCTGGAGATGTTTACATGAAATCAATGAAAGATAGAGATAATTAACTGTTTACCCCTTCCAAATCAATTAAATAGCACCACTAACATGCCTTCCCAGAGAGCTACCAAAGAACTTCAGTGATGCACTCCAGCAGCTTACTAATATGTTGTGGTGATTTGCAATAATCTAGCTCCCACGTATCTTGTACTGGCTGCAGAGAAAACAGGGCTTTTGTTACTCTCCCAAGAGACCTTTCCCTTTACAGGCAGCATGTAGCTGCATGATTCACCACGTGTTGCCAGACAGCCTTAGTCAGACCTACAGGGGCTGCTGGCAGCTGGCCTGTGACACAGGCACCCACTAGTTTCTGTGTGGCATCTTCCTGAAATGGTATCTCTCACCACCATGTATGTTTCAGTATAATAACTTAAATGCAACTTCTTTTAATCATCTACCCCCTTTAATTCATGAAATGTGATTGTTAAAAGAGGATTGCACGGGGGAAAAAATAAATAAATACTGCAAACACCCCAAGACTTGCATTTCAGATGTTTCTGCTCTCTCAAAATGTAGTTACTGAGCCCCTTCCTTCCTTCCTTCCTTCCTTCCTTCCTTCCTTCCTTCCTTCCTTCCTTCCTTCCTTCCTTCCTTCCTTCCTTCCTTCCTTCCTTCCTTCCTTCCTTCCTTCCTTCCTTCCCTCCTTCCTTCCCTCCTTCCTTCCCTCCTTCCTTCC